CATTTTATTATGAAACAAAGCCCTGAAATATATATACGAGAATGAAACCTGTACATTACATTACATTACAGTAATAATAATAATCTTTATTTATATATTGTGCCTTCTCAAACCGCTTACACAGAAAAATACATGAAAAACAATACAGCATATGAACATATGCATCAAAATATGTAAGTACATATGTGTCCCTGGAGCACAAAAGCAGTGTTAAGTCGCTGGGGGATATTTGTAGCAATAGCCAACAATACATTGTATGGGTCACAATTATACATTTCTCTTTTATGCCAAAAATCATTAGGATATTAAGTAGAGATCATGTTCCATGAAGATATTTAGTAAATTTCCTACCGTAAATATATCAGAACTTAATTTTTGATTAGTAATATGCATTGCTAAGAACTTCATTTGAACAACTTTAAAGATGATTTTCTCAATATTTAGATTTTTTTGCACGCTCAGATTCCAGATTTTCTAATATTGTCCTATCCTAACAAACCATACATCAATGAAAGCTTAGCTTTCAGATGATGCATAAATCTCAATTTCGAAAAATTGACCCTTATGACTGGTTTTGTGCTCCATATGAAAAGCATCTTGTGAAAAGCAAACGAGTCTTACTTGATTTTCTCCGTCAGTTGCTCTGTGTTTTCACGGATGGCGAGAGACAATTGGGACACTGGATTCAGCATCATATTGTTCAGTGTAAGCTGACAGAAGAAGAATGAGATGTACAGCTCAAATACAGAGTTAAAACTCCTGATGTTAAACTGAAGAGAAGCTCTGCTACCTCGTCTGGTCTCACGCTCTGTCGATTACACACGATCTGCTCGGACTCGTCAGCCGGCGCCGCAGCAGGAGATTCCTTCTGGAAATTCAGACTGGCTTCGGGAATCTGGTGCCGCAACTGAAAGAGCATGAAAACAACTATTTTGAATGGTAATAATATTTCAGTTTTTATTGCATTTTTGATCAAATAAATGCCGCCCTGTTGAACGTAGAAACATTATGAACGGTACCTCTTCATGGCTAGACATGGCTGGTCCCGTCTTGTCTGTTGAAGCACTCTGAGCTTCTGTGTCCCCAGCAACATCATGAATCTCTTGGGCCAGAATAGCCAAATCTTTGGCCAAGTCTTGACTCAATCTAACAAAGAATATGCATTAAAAAAAAAAAAAAAAAAAAAAAAAAAAAAAAACAGATCATATTTGGACTAAAACAAGAAAACAATATGCATTTACAAGAGAATCAGAAGCAGAAAAATCAGAATAGCAAACAAAATTGTCTAAAATCCTTAGCATGACTTGAAAATGTTAATAAAAAAATAAATAATAGAACTTTGTTGCATTGTTACGTCATTAGAAGGAGAAAAAAATATTTATTTATTTAAAACTTTGGCCCCAAATGCAATTTTTATGTTAAAACATAAAAAACATGCATTAAAATAAATCCTGGATAGACTTGTTAGCACTATCTGTAATAAAACAGCAGAAAGCGACACAATAGATGTCAATACAATAGATTGCCAAATTTTTTCTCAAACTAAAAAAAAAAATTCATTAAAAAAAAAAAAAAAAAAAAAAAAAAGTAACAAGTAATAA